TCTCGGCCACGCCTTGTGGCGAGTTGGGAGTTGGATTTGCAAGTGAGTGTCGGACGGTTAGCGGTAGTTCAGCATTAGCATATATCATTAGCATATTATAGTCTTTAGCATAGCTTTTAGTGTTATAAATACTTATTTAGTGTTAGCTTGGCTGTTAGATATTGTAGTTTAGTTAGTGTTTGGCTTTTAGTGTTACTAGGAAAGTAGTTCGGGTTTAGTGCTCTATATAGTGTTAGTACTTATTTAGTGTCAGCTTGGCTGTTAGATATTGTAGTTTAGTTAGTGTTTAGCTGTTAGTTTTATTAGGAAAATAATTCAGGTTTAGTGTTCCATATAGTGTTAGTATGGTTAAAAGGTGTAGTGTAGTTGGTTGTGGTGGCTCTGTGGGGTTGCACTCCTTTCCACTGGACTTAGAAATTAGGCGCCAGTGGTTGCGCGCAATCGGTGTACAGGATAACAGTCAGCTCCCGCCTGGTGCTGTAGTTTGCAACCAGCATTTTACCCGTGATTCCTTCGCCAACATGATGGAGTTTGAACTGGGTTATTCTGCACGTCTCCGTTTGAAGAGTGAGGCCGTGCCCACCGTGGCTCTTCCACGAATTAGATGCAGCCCACCGACTCTGCTCCCCCACCATGGCGGGCTCCAGTCTGAGGTGAGTAAGCTAAATAAACGTTTTAACATCTTCTAAAGACAATTCCCTACCTAAATGCAAAGTTTGAGAGACGTGGTTCACTCCATTTAGCTAATATCAGCCTGCACTGCCTTCGGGCTAAATTGTCAAGTTCACAAAATGTGGAACGGGATGTAAGGTTAGAATCAGCGGCGAATCGGAACATATCTCGAAGCCCTGGCCGACAAAAAGGTCCACATGACTATTTCTGTCAGGCTCGGAGAAAATCCGGGTTGTTTTTGTGTCAGTCGGTAATTCAGCAACAGTGGCTCTAACGCAGCACTAGTTGACAGACATCATTACAGCGTGAAATCCAGCTTTACACCAAAGCCTAACCCGGTTCTGTGAGGAATTCTGTTCAGGAGGTCGCATTTCAGGTTCTTCACATCATATGTGACTGACTTTTATGTTATAATAACGATCACACACTAGGAATGTCATAAAGTGCCTATATGTATATATATATATATATATATATATATATATATATATATATATATATATATATATATATATATATATATATATATTTCGGACAGTTTCTTTTGTATATTATCTGACTTTATAAACAACAACAACAATGTGCTTCTATTTTTTTTTTCAGGCTAAATCTACCCAAGACGTTGGCTGTCAGACTGATTTAGTAATCTTTAAAAATGCACTTGTCCAGGATCATGTAAAGCCTTATCGACGTAGCAAAGGTGAATTATTTTTAATAATCTTCTATGTAAACATTTTATTATTACCTTCTAGTTTTAATTTGTTTTACAGATTATTGTTACACGTGATTTTATGCTCTTTTAAACATTTATAAATGTGTTGCTTCTTTGTATTTTACATAGCCACACAGTTCCACAAAGTCCCAGAGCTGCGTCCACACCCCTGAAAAGACCGCGATATGAGGTGTCTGTTGTTGATCCCAGCTTCCACCTCAATGACAGTGCAAGCTCAGTGAACTGTTCAAGGTAAAAAAAAATTATAACATTTTAGAATTTTTTAGTTATGACCATATATATAAATGTATGTGTTCTATACAGCTCTTTCACTGAGGTCCATCCACAAAAGGACAAGAAGTACATTGTTCATGAGAAACCGTTGCTGGGGCTGTTCAGAAGGTGTCCCGTTTGTACCGGTCGTTGTGTTGTGAACACGACGACAATCGGCACACTGCTCCGTGTGACACAACGGTGTTCATGCTGTGAGCACTACAATGAATGGTCCAGTCAGCCCATGGTGAACAGCATCCCAGCAGGAAACCTCCAGCTCTGTGCTGCTGTCCTTTTCACAGGCTCATCATTTAGCCAGATTTCTAAGGTATAGGCCAAAACTGTTTAGGTTGGTTTTGATAAGGTCTGTGCATCTCTCATTTCATGACGTAACTTTTCATATTTTAGTTCCTGGGTGCCTTCAATGTGCAGGGACTGTCCAAGCAGTCATTCTTTCGACATCAGGCAAAGCTGTTAATTCCAACAGTGAGCTGGCAGTGGCAGCTAGAGCAAGCTGATATCATCCAGGAGGCTACTGAATCTGGACCTGTGACTCTTGGTGGTGACATGTGAGCTGATTCACCTGGTGAATACTTTTAAATTTATTTATTTTATTCCTTTGCTATCAAATGTAAATTAATTAATAACTTGCATTTCTTGAAGGACACTCAGCCAAATATGGTAGCTACACCATGATGGATCTCAAAAGAAACAAAGTTATTGATATCCAACTTGTACAGGTACAACATTACCTGATGATTCCAAAACATTTAATGGTTAATTATTCACAGATCAATGGAGAATTATGTTTATTTTCAGAGCAATGAAGTTGGGAATAGTGTGCGAATGGAGAAGGAGGGATTTGTGCGAAGTCTGAGCACACTTTTGGAGAGGGGGGTCGATGTGCAGCAAGTCGTGACTGACCGCCACACAGGAGTGCAGAAGTATTTGCGGGAGGAAAAAAAGGAAATCAGTCACTACTTTGACCCCAGGCACATGGGAAAAGGTAATCTTTGGGGATGTATATAGTGAATATTACAGGATTTTTTTTTTCTATTTTAAATGTGGGTCTGTTTGGCTCTCCAGGAATTGGTAAGAAAATCGAAGAGCTGGGGAAGAGAAAGACGACCCAGGATGTGAGACTGTGGAACAAAGTGTGGTGAACCACCTCTACTGGTCGGCATCCAGTTCCTCCTCAGGACAGGAGGCAGTAGCAAAGTGGACTTCAGTTGCCAACCACATCCAAAATGTGCACAGCCATGACAACGCCCTGTTCCCTAGCTGTCTGCATGCACCTCTGGATGGAGAACAGGCAAGACAGTGGCTCAAACCAAGTAAGTGTAGCATGTACTCATTACAGCTGAGCCTTTACTGTTTGGTTTCTTTACATTTAGAACACGTCACCCCACAACAGAATATTTGTCTTCACCTCCTTCAACATGGAGAAATATTTTTGGAGCATGTGAGTAACAGACATCACATGTAGCTGCTAAGGTCACACACCACCATTTGGCCAACAGCAATTAATTACTAAGAATAAAATGCTGTGCAGAAATTTAAACACACGAGTGCGCCACACAACTCATGGTTTTAGGCAGAACAGCCATAATTGACATAATATGTACTAAAATGCCGTAAGTAATGACCACACCTGTCTACAGCACTATTAGTCACTCTTTCATACATTTGTCATCTAAAAATGTCAGCTATAGGTAACTTTTTCTCAATGAAATAATAGCAACATTCTAAAGTTGATCAAATTGTAATTTTTGTAATTAACATTTTCTACGTAGGCACAGCATCATGTGAGAAGCTCACTGCCATTCTGTTAGCTCCACGGTTTGTGAAGGACGTAGAGAAGATAAGCCCTGTGTACCACACATCCACCTTGGAGGCTTTCCACAGCCTCATCATCAGATTTACTCCAAAAAGTCAGGTCTTCTCCTTCAAAGGAATGCTGTCTAGGTAATGAATACAACAAATGTTCAAATTAATGCCTCTAATTGTTCAAATTTTAGAATGAAATGTAGAATTTTGCCTAAAATCTGCATGGTTTGTTTATTTGATTATTTCAGATTAAAAATTGCTGCAATGCACTATAATGAAAATGCAGCACGCTCACATGCAGCAACAGCAACTGGTGAGCTGAGATATGCTGTAGTGTACCCAAAGTACAAACATGGAGACTACACAGTGAGAGCCCTGAAGACCAATCCAACCTCATGTATGTCAGATATTGTATGATAAAACCAAAATGATGTCATGGAGAGCTATTGTAATACTGAAAACCCTTTTCCAGTATATGTGCACAAGCTTATGGATCTGCTGTTCGACTCTGTGGTGGTGGATCCTCTCCCATATCAGGAGTACTCGGACAAAATTCCGGTTCCAGAACCTCTCTGTGCCCAGTTCCAAAGACCAGATAAACGGGATGCTGTGAGCAGGCACAGGTCCAGGTTTTAAAGTGCACGTCAGGTGAGCTACACAGGAGATTGTAATTATTAGTTAGTACTCTACTCTGTGTGGTTTCTCCTTTTCTCCTCCTCAGCCAGGCTGCACACCACTGTACGACAGAGGAGTTACCTGTCGTCATTATGGATCTTTATGCTCATCCACTCGTGACTCATGCTGTCCACCTCCCAGATGTCTATTGATCTCTACAACCTTTCTGCTCTGTGGCTCCCATACAACTTGAAAATCTTGGCCGTATGTAACATAGCAAAACTCACCAGTCTTGCTTTTGTAAGTCATACTAGTCATACTAATATTCCTTTTTCCTCAGAGCCTCCTGATATTGTTACAGAAAAGCCTGTGCTCCCGGGATCCATCTCCACGTTTGTCATCACAGTGAAAGCTACCTCCAGACTAAGGAACCAAAGAAACATCACTGATGGCCCAACCTATCCTCACATGGCTCCAGAATCTCTGCTTGTGGTTTAGAGTTTTGTCAAAAATCATGAAAGTTATGATCAGATTGTAATCTAACGTTGTCTTAGTAGTAGCTATAATAAATGTTATCTTTACAGCGCAATTGTGTCATTTTAAATACAATTATATTGATATTTTGATGTGTATAAATACATATATCACATTTATTAAATTATCATTCATTTTTACCTAATTGAACCTGCTCTAGAATAGACTTCATTAATCACACAGGGTGTAAACTCACTTGTTACAGCAGCATTAATTAACCCCGAATTAGAACCTTACTGTTGTAAGAGCTCATTTGAAAGTATGTGGCTATATGTGTGTATATATAAATAATGTCAAAGTGTAAAGAAGTGCATTTACCGTTTTGTGATTTATGCAGCTTTTTATGGACAGGAATCAATACAGGAAATATATATTATAACATTTATTTAATCCAAAAAATATATATTAGTTCAGAGGAGGGAGGAATCCTTTGTATGCACCGTCTTCTGGGAACTCCTGCCTTATTCTGGAGACAGCGCATGACGGGATCACAACACGAACGTGCTGTCCCAGGTAACCCCAACACCACCTGACCACATTCCGGTACGCCAGATGTCTGTAACAGCTGAGAAAGAGGTGGTATGAGTTACAAAGTATTCATAAAAAAATTATTTTGACAGTTGTCTTACCTGTTGAGCGTAGTCTCCTGCATCTCCCCATAGAGTTGCAGAAAGGTGCCATAAACTGCCTGCAACACGTAGGGATTCAGAGCAACAGCCTCAAAACCAGGATGCTTAGTTATGCAGGAGGTTACACCCACCTGCTGACACCTGAGCATTACCTATGACAAAGAACAACTGATATCAGTGCTATAAGAGTTCAATATTAGTATGATGTTAGTGATTGTGTAACAAATGTGTACATTACAGAATGCTTTTCTCATGGTGGGGTACTTTTATTTTTATACCTTGGGCGTTTCTCTCAAGCACACATTTTCTCTGGCAGACAATGATGTGCAGTGGCCGCAGGTGCACCTGTTGAGGCAGTCATACAATATTACTTTTAGCTAAGCTAAATCTAGCTAGCTGTGGCTAAAAGCTACTTACCACTCAGAGACTGGACCCATTCGATGCCTTGATACTCCTGCTGGCTCGGCTCCAGGGGCCTCTGACAACTCACGAGCTAGTGGCTCAAAAAGATACGGTTCAGGACCGCTTGCTTCCCCCAATAAGCCCTCCTCCCTATCCTCTGGGGAAGAAGGTGGGGAAAAGTCCTCCACCTCGAATGACTGCTCTGAGCTACTGTCGCTCTCCGTCGCCATCTGTATTCAAATTTCAGTATGTCAATCACGGTCGTAGCTCCGCCTTCTCGGTCTTACAGGAAACGCCTCTTTGGGCCGCATTTTTCAAATATGAAATGTGGGTGGAGTAAGACTCTGACAGGGGATTACCACTACTTTAATGTGGATTGCTCTATGATCAGTGAGGGGGGTGGCATGTATATTAACGGTAATATTATCTTTATCAATGCAGTCAGAAACAAGCCAGAAGTCAATACGTGATTGCCTGGATCCTGTCTTATTGCTCCAAGTAAAGAGTCTATCATCTGGAATTTTTTTTCTCCAAATATCCACAACATTAAATTTTCCCATAAAATTTTTTAAGTTTGCACTGTATGAGGATTGCTGCCCTGGAGGCCACCTATCAACCGTATTGTCTAAAGCGATGTTAAAGTCTCCACCAATTAATAGGACTGAATTTGGGTATTTGGAGAGCCAGAAATTTATTCTTTCTTCTAAGGAGTCGAGTAATTTATCATTTTCTGTTTTATTATTGTAACCATATATATTTACTGCAATGAAAGTACTGTTATTGTGTCTGATTATTGAGCAGAGGTAGTGTCCTAAGGTGTCACAGTCAGAATGTAACACATCCCCAGAAAAAAATTTTTCAGCGTGGCAACTCCAGCAGAACGCTCAGAGCCATGGGACAACCAGATGTCATTACCCCATTGCGATTTCCAAAAATTTGTATCAGCAGGTGTGGAATGACACTCTTGGAAAACGCAAAAATCTGTTTAAAATTGTTTGGCAAACAAAAACAAAGCTTTGCATTTACATGTTTGTCCTAAACCCCTGGTATTAAGAGAAACAAATAAAAAGGACAAAGTTATTAGAAAAGAGATAGAGAGAGAAAGTAGGTTCTAAACGTCTACAGCTAGGAATATATCCATAGAATAAGGGGACCGGGTGCTGCACAATTTAGGTAATAGAACAGTAAAAACCCTGAGTAACTAAGCTTATAAAAATATAGTATTTAACTATCTGCTATGGTTTAAATATAGCTTTTATAAACAAACACACTCTTCAACATAAAATAAAACTTTAACCTGAGGGTGAAAATATAAAGTTCACCATGTAAACAAGCTTGCAGAAATGTCATGTTGGAGACTGAATAAGCCTCTCTATGAAGGAGGGAAAACTTCTGATCCATTGATGAATCCTCGACCTCCCACGAAATAAGCTGGCTTACCCTTCTTACGGGCTTTGTCTATCATTGGCCATAGTTTGTCACGACGTTCTTTGTCCTCCCTGGACAGATCTTCAGCGAACCTCAAATGATTGTTCTGCAGGTAGGAGGAAGTTTTGGCTGCTTTCCATACAGCATCTCTGTAGATTCGGGAGGTGAACTGCACGATGATGCCTCTAGGTCTGGTGCTACCTTGTCGCTTGGCTCCGAGTCGGTGTACGGTGTCGATGACGTCAGGCAGCCTATGATTTTGTTTTGGCAGAACAGACTTGCATGTGTCAATCACCTTTTCCCTTACGTCTTCTTTCTCAGCCTCCTTGACTCCATGTAGTCTGAGATTCCACCTCCAGGAATAACTTTCCAATTCAGATATTCTCTGTTGACAGTTGTCCACTCGACCTTCCACTTTAGTTACTTTTTTTCCAGGTCGCAAACTTTCCCCTTCATATCTTTCATTTCCGCGCACACAAAATCAATCATCTTTTTGAGACCATCAATCTGGAGCGTATTCTCTCTCACCATGCTCTCAATGTTATCAGACCTGGCGTTTATTAGTGCCGACAGACGAGAAATTATCTGATTTGCATCATCTGGGTCAGAGCTGCTGCATTCATACATCACCTTCTTCGGAGCTGGCGATTTAAGAGGTGTAACAGGGAGAGGTGGGAACTCATCCATTTCTTCTTCAGCTAGCGTGAGTGCTACTGCGGTAGCTGCGTAGTCATGAAAGCTATCCATTAGCACGTTGCTGGGTGTAGCACTCTTCTCATTAGCATCCTCAGGCGCTAGACTTGGAACTTTCCAGTCCCCTTTTCGCTCCTTTCTGGTTCGGCATTCTTGCCCTATAATTACTGTACCTTCTCTTGTTTAGTGAATTGTTAGTGTTGGCAGCATAAAGTTGAGGTTTTACCGTTGTTCACGAACTTTCTGTGCAGAACTCGGTAGAAAGCGTCTACTCACTCCGCCATCTTGGCCGCCCCCCGTGTCGGTACAGGATCTGCTCGGGTGCAGGATCGGCTCGAGGTCCTTCGACTGCCCGATGACGTCAAATTGTTGATTGGCTGAACATGAAGCTTACGGAAGTGACTTTATCACGTTATGATTTTGATTGGTCAGAACAAATTTGTGGTCGTAGTCTTAGCGGTTGTAGTCCTGTAGTCCAAAAATCAACACTTTTTGGAGAAAATATATTTGAATTTCTAAAGGAAATGTAAAATGTAAGCAAATGATAAACGGTGACCCTCAAAAGCTCTTGATGTTGATGAAATGGGGCAAAATAAAATATAAGAACTTATTGAAAGACACCAAGCAATATTTTGAGTCAAAGAATGTATTTAGGCAACAACTAAGGAAATATAAAGACGAACTCCACGTTAATACAAACAGACATGGCTTCACATATAAGAACTGTTCTATTTTTTGTCAGTCCGATGTTGGTTTTATGCAGTTTCACATTCTTTACAAAACAAAGATAATATGTTTTTTTATTAACAAATTACAATTAGAAAGAAAACATTTAGGTGTAAACAAACAAGAACTTATTAACAAAACTGCGGATGTCTTTCCAAAACGTATGTGTGAAAGCCGAGAAGATTTGCCGTAATGTGACGTCATCGGCAGTCGAAGGACCCCGAGCACATCCTGCACCTGAGAAGATCCTGTACCGACACCGGTTGCGTCTTTTGGAATTCTAGGGTGACCAAGGAAGGTCCCGCCTTTCTCGCCTCTGATTGGCTAAATGGGCTCTACTACGATTGGCTATTTCATTTAACAGCAAACCGTCTTCCCTTGCTAAGTGCAAACAGTCCTCTTGCTACTAACAGAACAGATGTTTTGGGGATTTTTTTATTTTTATTATTTTAGAAAAGAAGAACTTAGCGCCGTTCGGTCCTTTTGCAAAAGTTTTTTTGTTTCATTGATTAAAAACATAAGAAGTGAACTTATAAATCTTGTTGCATTTATCACACTGTGGGACTTACTTTATGTCTATGGCTCTAAAGCATTGAGGTTATCTTATTACAGCAGAGTACATAAACGTGTGTGCCTTACCTGGACATGAAATATAATAAAACTGCCCTATTTTACCCAGCTGTGTGCAGCAGATCTGTTTCTCTTCTAAAATAGTGAAAACTGCTGAAAAATAGCTCTAAATCATAATCAGCTTTGAATTAATTTCAATTAAATGTACAGATTTAAACACATGAAAGATGTGTCCTCACTTTCATCCTGCTTGCTTAACAGCCTCAGCCTATGAAAGTATTTCCAAATTGTTATCAAAAGGCATGATCATGAAAATACACCACACCGATTACATCACAGATTTTATTGAACAAGTACAGAACACCTGTGTTTGATTGTTTGTGTGTGTGTGTGTGTGTGTGTGTGTGTGTGTGTGTGTGTGTGTGTGTGTGTGTGTGTGCGTGCGTGCGTGCGTGTGTGTGTGTGTGTGTGTACGCGTGTGTGTGACGAAGAAGAAGAAGAAGAAGAAAATATTATTTCTACAGCGCCTCTCAAGATAAAAATCACGAGGCGCTTCACAAAAACATAAAGTGTAAAAATATAAAAAAGAATTTAGAAAATGGTTAAAAATATATTTAAAATGAGCAAAAAATAGACAATTGTGATTAAAAAATGTTAAGAAAGAGAGAGAGTGAATAGGAAAGAGGGAAATCAGAGGATCCTGAGGAAGGTGGAATAGGTGGGGAGAGCAGAATAGAGAGGGGTGAAGAAGGTCATCCAAAAGCCAGCTTGAACAAGTGAGTCTTCAGCTGCTTTTTAAAGGAGACCACTGAGCCCACTGATCTCAGGCTCAGGGGGAGAGAGTTCCAGAGTCTGGGGGCCACAGCAGCAAATGATCTGTCACCTTTGGTCTTTAGCCTGGTGCGCTGCACAACCAGTAGGCTTTGATCACTGGACCTCAGGGACCTGCTGGGGGTGTAGGGACTAAGAAGATCACCAATGTAAGATGGTGCTTGTCCATGTAAGGCCCTATAGACCAGAACCAGGATCTTGAAATGAACCCTGAAGTTGACTGGCAGCCAGTGAAGCTGGAGGAGAAGCGGGGTGATGTGGGTGTGTTTGGAGGACTTGGTCAGAAGCCGAGCACAAGTATTCTGAACCACCTGTAGACGGTTCAGGGAGGTTCTGCTCAGACACGTGAAAAGAGAGTTACAGTAGTCTAAGCGTGAGGAGATAATGGTGTGGATAACTGTCTCAAGTTCAGAGCGGGACAGAATGGGACTCAGCTTAGCAATGTTCCTGAGATGGAAGAAGGAAGAGCGAACAAGAGAACTGACATGATAATCCAGGGTGAGAGCTGGGTCAAAGGTCACGCCAAGATTCCTGACGGAAGGTTTGGTGTGAGAAGTAAGCTGACCAAGAGAGTCTCTGACTTTGGGAACCAGCCTGTCTGGGGCACAGATGAGGATCTTAGTCTTATCTTCATTCAGCTGTAGAAAGCTCCCAGCCATCCAGGTTTTGATAGAGCCTAAGCAGGTGTGTAACAGCAGCAGCTTAGACATCTCATGGGGCTTAAAGGAGATGTACAGTTGGATGTCATCTGCATAAAGATGGTAGGAGATTCATTTGAAGGAGCTCAGGATGTGCTGAAGAGGAAGCAGATAGAGGAGGAAGAGCAGAGGCCCCAGCACAGAACCTTGTGGGACACCATGGGTAAGAGAGGTGGTGGAGGACCTCAACTTGGAGACGGCCACAGAAAAGGAGCGCTCAGAGAGATAACAGGAGAACCACTCCAGAGCAGATCCTGATAGGCCTACCCAGTCTCTCAGCCTCTCCAGTAGCAGGTGATGGTCAACAGTGTCAAAGGCTGCAGTCAGGTCCAGCAGGACCAGAACAGAACTGTGAGTCAGAAGGTCATTAGAGACCCTAAGAAGAGCTGTTTCAGTAGAATGAGCTCTACGAAAACCTGACTGGAAGCTATCATAGATGTTATGTTCATCAAGAGCAGCTGTGAGTTGTTTAGCCACAACTTTTTCCAAGATCTTGGAGATGAACGGAAGTTTAGAGATGGGTCTGAAGCTGCTATGGAGAGAGGGGTCGAGACTCTGTTTTTTAAGAAGCGGGTGGATTACAGTGTTCTTAAAGTAAGCAGGGACCTGACCAGAAACCAGAGAAGCATTAATTATAGAGACCGATGGACTGAAAAGCACTTTTAAACAAAGACGAGGGTAAGATGTGGAGGGGGCATGCAGAGGTCTTCATAGAGTTAACTAGTTTGGTTAACTCAGGCAAAGAAACAGGAGCAAAGCTAGGATGATGGGTCTGGTTGGAGTCGGGAGAGGCAGTGATAAGGCTGAAGGAGAGATGCTAGATCTAACCTTATTGACTTTGTCCACAAAGAAAGACAGAAAGTTCTCACAGTCTGCAACAGAGTGGATGGAGGCTGTAGGAGAGGCAGGAGAGACGATGCTGCTGATGGTCTTAAACAGCACCTTGGGGTTCCCTTTGCTCTGGGACACCAGGTGTGTGTGTGTGTGTGTGTGTGTGTGTGTGTGTGTGTGTGTGTGTGTGTGTGAGTGTGTGTGTGTGTGTGTGTGTGTGTGCGCGTGCGTGCGTGTGTGTGTGTATTGAACTGGCAGCTGTGTCATCAGCAAACAACAGATTAGATGAACATTTGAAGGCATGTCTATTATTTTTAACGTGGCTTTTGAAAAGCTAATATTAGCTTTCTCACAAGGACATATTTACCTCTGCTCAGAAAACCACATCAGTTGCTTTGCTTTAGCTTTCAGTCAAACGAAGGCCGCTGTTGTCTGCAGCCTCCGCGACTTTTCAGCCAATCGTAGTTGAGCCCATCTAGCCAATCAGAGGCGAGAAAGGCGGGACCTTCCTTGGTCACCCTAGAATTCCAAGAGACGCTCACCGGCTACGCGGTGTAAACACAGAAGCTTATGGTTTTCTTCCATTTTTTCCATCTGTATGTAATGCTAATCGTAGGGTTTGAGGCTTGGAATTAAACTAGCTAAGCGATGCGACAAAAGGGCTAACAAACAAAGGTATTGGTGCTGTAAACTTTTCTATCTGTGTGTTTAGAGTTAATTGTAAACAACCTTTAAACGCACAAAGACAGCGTCCATATCTATTTGCTAGTGATTCGTTCAAAGCTACTGTTTGCGGTCGTTCTGTGTAATTATATTGAGCGCAAATGCTAACTAGCGGAACGGCGTGGTTACCTATGAAGACAAGAGACGTCTAAACAGATTTATTTAGCATTAGCCTGCTAGCTTTCCTCAAAGACAACATGATGCGTAAAAGTGCATACTGATTAACGTTTTTAGTCATTTTCAAGATAGCTGAAAGCAGACGACATACCAGTTTATGCTTTTATTGTGAAAACGTTTAAATTACATGTTTCGTTGTAAACTAAAAATTTTTGCTGTTCTTCTGCAGCCTTCTAATCAAAGCCTCTAAAAGTAAGTTTCATTACTGATACCTGAAGGTTATCTATCAGAGTTTTTCTTTATTATAGATGCACAAACTGCTTATGTGTGTAAAGGTAATTATTCTCGTCACGTGTTATAATAACCTGGAGTTTAAGAACCATAACAAACAACTTACATCAGTTTTATTCTGAAAATCTTCAGCCACAGATATTTAAGTCAAGGTGAAACCAAATATGACCAGAGCTTTTGAAACTAGTCAGAAACTGAAGTTTTGTGACTAGTCCAGTATTGAACAGTTTAGTCATAATTCTGTTGATATTGAATCAAACAAGTTACTGGGGTACCTGGTGTGTCCTGAATGTTTGAAGATGTTGTTTTTGTCATGTTTTTGTCTGTAATTGTCTTTTGCTACATGGTAATCTTAGCTCCTACCCTCCCAAGAAGAGAACAAACTGTATTTTCAGTATTAATTAAAATCTATTATGCAAAAAAGAGCAGGTTCACCATTTTTTTACTTCATATTTTTGAAAGCGATCGGTCACTCTGCGTTAAACATGCAGGCTGAACATGATAAAAGAAAGAAAACGATCTTTAATATAGCGCCTCTCAAGATAAAAATCAGGAGGCGCTTCACAAAAACAAAAAAATGTAAAAAAAATTATATATTTTTTGTAATTCTTTATAAAATATTTTGAAAAAGAAAAAAAATAAATATTGTCCTTTGAAAAATGTATGGATGAAGGAAATCTGTGGATCCCGGGAAAGGTGGAAAAAGGTCTTTTGGATGTTTTAGTGTCCAGGAGAGGGCAGAGAACATCTCGGCTAGTAGGGTTGTCACGGTGTGAAAATTTAACCTCATGGTTATTGTGACCAAAATTATCACGGTTTTCGGTGTTATCGCGGTACTTTTTTAAACTTGTTACATTTTCAGACAACTACATAAACCCTGTATATCAGGAAAATATCGTCCTCAGTTTGTGTCTAAATTTTGCCTAAAATGTGTTATTTTGAAATTATGTTGTTTATTTGTTTACATTTTTCCCCTTTAGTCTTTAAAATACCAATATTTTTCCATAACTTCTTATTTTTTGTCTGTTAGGTGTCATCATTTTAAAAATATTAGATCAGATGATACTCAGTACTCAAGTAGCCTTCTAATCAGATACTTTTTCACCCTTACTTGAGTAATAATCCCTATATCAGGAAAATATTGTCCTCGGTTTGTGTCCTTCAGTGAGCTTTGCAGATGTGGGAAAATGTCATCAGGAAGTAATCATTGTTAAATTCATAATTATTCTCGGAGAGAGACCAACTCTTCTCTGCCCCTGCGAGCCCCGTAATGCATAGCGTCATTTCAACATGGGGGTGTCCGCGACACGGTTTATATGCAGGTAGCGGCGCTGCGGCTGATATAGCGACTCGTTGCATTTTCCCTCAACCCAAATCCTCGGATCACGCATTTTAGCTAAAACGCTAACGTTAACTTGCCTTGCGTTGACTGTAGAGTTGTGGGTGATGGTCATGCAGATGTGTCATGAGATTTGAAGCATTGCTGTTTTTCACAGACACTTTTTCTGCACGTGCTGCAAACAGGATAGCCGTCGTCTATCAACTGTCCCTCGGCATTCTTCAAATATCCAAAAAATGCCCGTACTTCCCACTTTGGCTTCTTTGAGGGATAAAAAATGTCCTGAGTGCTGCCGTCTCCTCCTTTGGCCATTATTTCAGCTTTAGCTTCAAGAAAGTTTTGGTTGTAAACATCAAAGTATGCATGTGCCGCCGGCAACTTCAGCAGATGATACGGTGGCTGGTAAGGGTCACCGCGCCTACACCGCAGCCACGGTAATACACCAAGATAATATAGTTTTAAAAAACAAGACGGTTATTACTCTCAACTTTTTTACCGGGGTTTACCGCTACACCGGTTACCGTGACAACCCTATCGGCTAGTAAAAGCTAACTGTTAGCATTAGCAACTCCACCACACAGCAGAACTCCTTCGGGCTTGTGTTATTTGAAGATAAAACATCAACTTTGCAGAGTAAACAGAGTCAGTGGTAAAGTCATGTTGCTGATAGCCAATCAGAGACGAGATGTCCAAACATCAGGATATAAGACTCCAAATCCTGTCAAGTTCTGCCACTCTCTCCTCTGGCGAACTTCTACGTCCTTAAACAGTCTGAGCTTTTCCTCCTCAGACAACAACTCACACGACATTCATTCCTACTAGAGACCACTGCAAATGTTGTTGAAAATATGAGTAAAGTTGACCTTTAAAATTGGTGGCATCTAAGTATGCCAGTTTATGTTTTAGAAATGCTTGAAATATTCTCACATAGATGGACGTTAGAAACAGTTACAGGAGTGTGGAACTCCTGCTAAATGTGTGTGTTTTTTCTGAAGCCGTGTTTGGAGATGATGTGATTGACAGCTTCTTTGAGGACGGAAGTAAGTGTAGTTTAGGGCTGCACAATATATCGCAAATATCTCGTTATCGCGATATCAGCATGCGCAATATGCATATCGCAAATAACAGATAAATATCGCAATGAATGGTCAGCTCAAATGTTATCAAACGGAAGCATGATGTTTTCTTTAACAAATCTAATGGAGCTCTTCGCCCATTTGGCCAATTAGGTGGGTTCTTGTAGGTTAGATGCCCGCCCCCGAGGCAGACGGCACTTAATTCTGATGGTTAGCAAACACCTGAGTTAGCTTTGTTCTGCTCTTTCTGCTGATTCTGCTTTTCCCGGGATCCACTGATTGCCTTTTCCTGTTCGTTTTATTTTTCCCTTTCCTCGCATCTTTTGCTTTTCTCATTTTTATGATTTTTTTGTCTTTTTTTTTTCTTTGTTTTTGATTATTTTTGTTCCTAGTTAAGTTTTTATTTATCGCAGTAATATCGTCATTGCAATAATAATCACTGTTATCACATATCGCAGGTTTTCCTAATATCGTGCAGCCCTAGTGTAGTTCTATCAGAATTACCTGTAACCGTCATTGATGTAGCATTAGCATGGCTGTGTTTTACAACTTACCATTCAGCTCAGCCACACTGGTCAAACAGAGCTTACACTGGGGCGCGTAATCCATAAGTTGATAGAATTCAGGAGTTCTGGACTACTAACTTTTAAATTATTACCCGTCTTTTCTTTGAGTCACATTCTGCTGCTTCTACATCTCGTCTCCCACTGATGAGATGTTCAGCGCCCTGGCGGAGGAGGTCAAGAGGGAAGGTTTGGACTTTGAGGTATAACAACTCATTTTCTTTGTCTTTTCTTTTTCTATTTATTTCATTGACGTTTTTATTGTGTTTCCATTCTGTTTAAGGACTCTGATGTCTCAGAGGTAGACCCAGAAGACTTGTTGAAGAGCTTGAAAGTAAATAATTATCAAGTGTCCAAAAGTGGTTGTTGCACCTCATGTGGTCCTAATTTACCTTCTTTATACTCAGAACATTGATGATATGGAGGCCAACCTGTTGAATGCGGGCGCAGCTCCTGCTCAAACAAAGACGCTCGCAACTGAACGTCTAAAAAAGGATTTTTCTGTCTTAGAAGCTCACAACAATTCAGATGGAACAGGTAATCTATTGTGTTTTAGTTACCTTGATGTTAGATTATCTTGGATGAGAGATGTTCTGTTTCCTCTCAACATTTAGATGAAGCGAAACGAGGAACAAAGAAGCCAAGCCTTAACTCTTCATTCGCAGGCCGTAGCTTCAAGAAGTTCTCCTTTGGTGAGAAAACATCTGGGATGTGTGTTATTTCCCCCGAAAGGTGAATCTGTTGTTGACTGGCTGCATTTCTGTGCTTGTTCTAAATCATTCTCAGATAATGATGAAGATGATGGTGAACCTCTCGGTCAGACATCTGACATCAAAGGTACACTAGTGAGTAAGTGCCAACACGTCACAGTTGTGTACTTTATGCTACAACACATCTAATAAATGTTGAACTCTCCACTTTAAAGTGGAGTTTTCTGCTCCTCCGTCCTACTGGTTGAAAGTGGAATTACAACTGATGTAAATCCTGCTGAAGCTAGCGCTTAAAACAAGCTAGCACTAACATGATCCAACTGATACTAAAATAAACCACAAAGTAAAAAGATCAAAATTGTTGGACAAATATATCATTACTTACATCCAGCAGCAACAAAGCCAGGCCACCATCAATTCGTGATTTTGTAGCCTCCTTTAGCTCCCTCAAACTAGTGTAGGCCACACCAATGTTCACCCTGGTTTTAGTGTTTTGTTTTGCCTCCAAAGACATTACGCTCTTATTTTTACTTCCAAGCTCCACCATGATGCCAACAAAAAGGCAAACTTCTTCTTTTTCTTGTGTTTTTTTTTTAAATTGAAAATCAGCAAGCAGAAACAACTAATTGCTAGCATGCCAACTAGGACACCTACCTGCTCCACAAACCTGTTAAGTGCAGTATCTGGACAGCAGGGGCTGCAGAGTTGTGTCAAATATGAAACTAGTCAAGTCCACAACTCAACAATCACTGAGACCAATGTTAAAGCTCTAGTTTAAGATTTGAAAAACAATTTAGTGTTACTTTAAATTTAAAGATCTTTGTAATGATTTCAGTTGTCCCAAGTATATGTGGAGGTTTAAAACACGCCTTTATTCATACTTATGTTTCCATTCAGTTTAACTTAAATCCACCCACCACTTATTCAAGGTTGAGGAGGTAACAGATCCCGGGAAATCCAGACATCTCTCTCCGCCTGGGAATCTCTCCTCATGGGGATTCTAGATAATTCCTAGGATATGGAGTAGATGTAATCCCTCCAATGGGTGTTGCATGTTCTCCTAGTTTTTGTCTCAGTGTGATATACCCAGAAAGGGACCAGGAGGCATTCTGATCATACCCCTAAACCACCTCATCTGACTCTTGGATGCAGAGGAGAGGCGGTTATACACCAAGCTCCTGTCAGATGGCGGATCTCCTCACTGCATCTCTAGAGCCGAGCCGGGCCACCCTACAGAGGAGGCTCATTTCAGCCTCTTCTATCCAGGATTTTGTTCTTACAGTCATGATCTAAATCCCATGATCATAGATGATGGTTGAACTGCAAACAGACAGGTTAATCAGGAGCTGTTGACTTTGGACCAGTTCAGAACCATGGCCTGGAGGAGTCAACTTCTGCAGAATCACAACCTGGAACTTGGTGGTTGGGTTTGAGTATCTCCATCTTCCTGGTGGCTGTTTTGCAGTGGTCTCCAATAAGGTTAGATCTAGCATCTCTCCTTCAGCGTTATCACTGCCTCTCCCGACTCCAACCAGGCCCATTATCCTAGATAGCTTTGCTCCTGTTTCTTTGCCTGAGTTAACCAAACTAGTTAACTCTAGGAAGACCTCTGCATGCCCCCCATCTTACCCTCATCTTTGTTTAAAAGTGCTTTTCAGTCCATCGGTCCCAGCGTGCTCTCTATAATTAATGCTTCTCTGGTTTCTGGTCAAGTCCCTGCTTACTTTAAGAACGCTGTAATCCACCAACTTCTTAAAAAGCCGAGTCTCGACCCCTCTCTCCATAGCAGCTTCAGACCCATCTCTAAACTTCCGTTCATCTCCAAGATTTTGGAAAAGGTTGTGGCTAAACAACTCACAGCAGCTCTTGATGAACATAACATCTATGATAGCTTCCAGTCAGGTTTTCGTAGAGCTCATTCTACTGAAACAGCTCTTCTTAGGGTCTCTAATGACCTTCTGACTCACAGTTCTGTTCTGGTCCTGCTGGACCTGACTGCAGCCTTTGACACTGTTGACCATCACTTGCTACTGGAGAGGCTGAGAGACTGGGTAGGCCTATCAGGATCTGCTCTGGAGTGGTTCTCCTCTTATCTCTCTGAGCGCTCCTTTTCTGTGGCCGTCTCCAAGTTTAGGTCCTCCACCACCTCTCTTACCCATGGTGTCCCACAAGGTTCTGTGCTGGGGCCTCTGCTCTTCCTCCTCTATCTGCTTCCTCTTCAGCACATCCTGAGCTCCTTCAAAGGAATCTCCTACCATCTTTATGCAGATGACATCCAACTGTACATCTCCTTCAAGCCCCATGAGATGTCTAAGCTGCAGCTGTTACACACCTGCTTAGACTCTATCAAAACCTGGATGGCTGGGAGCTTTCTACAGCTGAATGAAGATAAGTCTGAGATCCTCATCTGTGCCCCAGACAAGCTGGTTCCCAAAGTCAGAGACTCTCTTGGTCAGCTTGCTTCTCACACCAAACCTTCCATCAGGAATCTTGGCGTGACCTTTGACCCAGCTCTCACCCTGGATTCTCATGTCAGTTCTCTTGTTTGCTCTTCCTTCTTCCATCTCAGGAACATTGCTAAGCTGAGTCCCATTCTGTCCCACTCTGAACTTGAGACAGTTATCCACACCTTCATCTCCTCACGCTTAGACTACTGTAACTCTCTTTTCACGTGTCTGAGCAGAACCTCCCTGAACCGTCTACAGGTGGTTAAGAATGCCTGTGCTCGGCTTCTGACCAAGTCCTCCAAACACACCCACATCACCCCGCTTCTCCTCCAGCTTCACTGGCTGCCAGTCATCTTCAGGGTTCATTTCAAGATCCTGGTTCTGGTCTATAGGGCCTTACATGGACAAGCACCATCTTACATTGGTGATCTTCTTAGTCCCTACACCCCCAGCAGGTCCCTGAGGTCCAGTGATCAAAGCCTACTGGTTGTGCAGCGCACCAGGCTAAAGACCAAAGGTGACAGATCATTTGCTGCTGTGGCCCTCAGACTCTGGAACTCTCTCCCCCTGAGCCTGAGATCAGTGGACTCAGTGGTCTCCTTCAAAAAGCAGCTGAAGACTCACTTGTTCAAGCTGGCTTTTGGATGACCTTCTTCATCCCCTCGCTCTTTATTCTGCTCTCCCCACTTATTCCACCTTCCTCAGGATCGACTGATTTCCCTCTTTCCTGTTCACTCTCTTTTTCTTAACATTTATTTCATCACAATTGTCTATTTTTTGCTCATTTTAAATATATTTTTAAACATTTTCTAAATGCTTTTTTATATTTTTTGTTTTTTTTAAGCGCCTCGTGATTTTTAACTTGAGAGGCGCTATGGAAATGATATTTTCTTCTTCCAACCCTGGACCTCAAGGGCTACTATCTAGCATGTTTCAGCTGTATCCCTGCTCCAGCACACCTGACTTTAATCAGCAAGTGATTAACAGGCTTCTGCAGAGTTTGCTGATCTACTGAACAGGGGCATAAACCATTGAATCAAGTGTATTGGTGCAGGAAAACTGCTAAAATATTCTGTGTAGGGATCTTGAGGACAAGAGTTGACACTCTCGGTTCAGAACATCAGTCCATGATAAAGTCTCCAATACCTAATAGGCCTCAGAAAATGGGTTACCTCACCTCACCGTTCCTAGAACCAGGCCTGGAAAGGAAGCTTATCGGCATCAGGCAGTTGATCCTTGGGATTTTAGACCTGAAAAGTCCACAAGAAGCTGCTTCTTCTCGACTTCCGCAGTTCAAGTTGTTTTCCATAACAATAGAGAAACGGCTCTGGTGGATGGGCTCAACATAGCAGGGTGGTCCCAGGACTTTAAAAAGTAGCTAGCTCAACTTAATCTGTACGTGATGCAAAAACAACGCAACAATGGAGGACATAGTAGAGATGTTTAACTTTGTGCTCAGTCGAGCTTTTTTGTCAGACTCCATAAAGAAGAGATCCAGAAAAGGTTGTGGCCAGTAAGGTGAAACCGAGAAACACCCGGAGCAACCACTGACTCCACCCCCTGGCCAATCACTGACCGGTCTGCCGATGTCTCATTTTCAGTGCAGTTTGGTATGCTTGGACCAGTTGACATTCGTTCACTTTAAACCGGGTAGCTGTTGAAGGCAGCGGTATGGTAATGTTGGTTCCTAGCTTGGTAGTTGGGATGGTAAATATGGCAGTACATAATCATGTTAACAACTGTTGTATACAGCTAAAGCTGCAGATCTTATCGCACAAGTAATTCCCAAAGAAGAGGAATGACCTTTGGCTCTATTTTATGCGATCTGAATCATGTATCCAAAGGTTTAAATGGCCTGTGTTTGTATAGCGCCTTCTTAGGATTCTACAACCCCCCCCCCCCCCCCCCCCCCCAAGGCGCTTTACAACACAATCAGTCGTCCAACCATTCACATGAGCTACGATGTAGCCACAGCTGCCCTGGGGAGCACCGACAGAGGCGAGGCCTGTCGAACACTGGCGCCACTGGTCCCTCCGACCACCGTCATCAGGCAAGTTGGGTTAAGTGTCCTGCCCAAGGACACAACAGCAACATTCTCTGGTCAGAGCTGGGATCGAACCTGCAACCTTCCGATTACTGGACCAACCTATAAATGGTGCTCAAGCTAGTTGATAGGGCTGTAGCGAAGCCTCGACGAAGTCGACGGCTCGATTCTAAAAATTTGTCGACGTCAGATCCGGAAGTCGACGCACCGCGCCCACTTGTTGCATCCCCAGGAGTTTGTAAATAGAGGAGGAATCTGCCTGTTCTTCCTCTAGTTCGCCCTCTTCTCCGCCTTCACTAACATCTCCGCCAAATACCGAAGACCCGGAACAACGTCCGTCCACTACTAGATTATTTTCCTGTTTTGCCCCTTCGTCTCCCGGCAATGGACAACAACTTCCGGGGTCAGATGCGCTGCTTCGTGTCTATCGCAGATGTAGAAAATCACCGGGAGCGTTTCTCCCTTCATTAAGGAGCTTCTTTCAGACATGAGGAGAGCTGTTTTGGTGGTAGCAGTCTCTCCTCCGTGCTGGTCTGTTTGCTGCTGGGTGTTTTTGGTTTATTTAAACTTGGTAACTTGAATTTAATGTTGGTAAAGCTACTGTTAGCATCTTCGCTAACAGCTTCTTGCGTTGGGATAAGCTGTTACGTTTTGGTTTAGAGTTCATCTTTTTTGTGGTGTAGATCTCCCTTTTATTACATTTAGAGTGTTGTGGGTTTTCGGTTTAGTGTAAAATATCACCTGAGTTTGGTTTAACCCGTAACACCACTCGCCTCACGCACATAAGTGACCAAAACAAAGCAGCATGGAGACACTCCATCTTCTACCACCTCTCAGGCAGCAGCCTGCTCTCCCAAGTTCTACACGTCATCAGAACATAACCAACCAACACAATAAACGCAGTGTTATACAAAATGGAAGGCCTGTAGTGTTTATTCTCTTACAGTAAGAATTTATCAATTTTTTTTTGAGGAATTTATTTGAGATTTTCTGGTTTTTGTTAATTGTGCAATAGAAAAATAATCATTAGATTAATTTTCTAAATAGTCATTAGAAAAGTCGACTATTCGATAAAATAATCGTCAGAATAATCGTTTTAAAAATAATCGTTTACCCCCAGCCCTACTAGTTGAACTTAAAATGTTTGGAAAGTTTTATCCACATGCTCCAAGAATGTGTGAGATGTCTTCCACTCCATCTTTATCCAGCGTAGAGTTCCACATCTGGTGTTTTAATCAGTCATGTCCTAACACAAATATGGAATATCGTTGATAAGAGATGCTGGTCTTGCAAGCTTCCAGGTGCTTTAACTCACTTTACTAACGGGGTGAGTTGTTGGAGGACAGGCTCATACTCTGAGATGAAGCTGCAGAAATAAATTCAATTGAATCATCAGTCAGTTTTTTTCCTCGCAGTTCTCTTTCTGTAAATCTGTCAGAATCTAAGATGTTATCAGTCAGAAACTCATAGGGTTTGTGCATTATTTTCTAAATTCTTCACCCAAATGATTGTTCGTTTGTCTCTGAATGTCTACAGAAGTTGATATTTAACAGTGATGTTTAAAGTTCCAGGTACTTCAGATACTTCCGAAAAGACCAAACCCAAAGGCATGCAGGGGTATTTTTGAGCTGTCCAGCTCCTCTACAGATCTTCATCTTCATTAAACTGGGAAATCAAAACCCTCAGCTTTCGCCTCCCTGTTGCCATTTATCTTTATTTTATAGACATTGTTGATCTCCAGAAATAACTTATTTTTAGTACCATATGCTTCTTTCTCCGTTGGTAAAGTATATGTTTTGTTATTACTGGATACAACACATTTGCCTTTTTCTGCATAGTTACAAAACACAACTGAAAGATTAGATTTTAGGTCTAAAAGTACACATCCTAAACTTTATTGGAAGTTAGAAAAGGTTGCTCAGAGATGTCGCCAACCTGTTCTGGACTTTAAAATGTTTTATTGCCCAAATAATGAAGTAATTTTACTAGTTTTTGGACAGATGTTTGCTCATGACCCCTAGTTCTTTTCTAATTTTCTTCATGTTTTGCTTTTTTAATCATCATTTGAATTTTCAATACGGCATCTTTTAAAGTTAGGACCATGTTGTTACGGTCAATCGTTATATCAGAAAGTGGCACGATTAGGGAAGAATTCCTTTTCCAACATGTAGCAGAATCAGGCATCCATCTTAACTCCCTTAAGCACTTCTTCTATCTCCTACATACATTCCATCCTTCCATCCATCCATTTTCAGCCGCTTATCCAGAGTCGGGTCGTGGGGGAAGCAGCCTAGGCCGAGAGACCCAGACTTCTTTCTCCCCAGCTACCTGGGTAAAGCTCCTCCGGGGGAATCCCAAGGCCAGCCGAGAAACATAGTCCCTCCAGCATGTCCTGGGTCTTCCCTTGGACCTCCTCCCAGTTGGACATGCCTGGAAAACCTCACCAGGGAGGCGTCCAGGAGGCATCCTGACCAGATGCCCAAGGCAACTCAACTGGGTCCTCTCCATGTGGAGGAGCAGCAGATCTACTCCGAGCCCCTCCCGGATGACCAAGCTTCTCAATTTATCTCTAAGGAAGACCCCAGCCACCCTGCGGAGATAACTCATTTCATCCTCTCATATCCGCAATCTCGTTCTTCCGGTCACTATCCAAAGCTCGTGACCGTAGGTGAGGGTAGGAACGTAGATCAACCAGTAAATCAAGAACTTTGCCTTCTGGCTCAGCTCTCTCTTCACCATGACAGATTGGTACAATGCCAGCATCACAGCAGATGCAGCACCAGTATGCTGATTGATCTTGCGCTCCATTTTTCCCTCACTGAAATTCTTAAACTCCTCCACTTGAGGCAGGACCTCATCCCTGATCTAGAAAAGGCATTCTAGCCTTTTCTGGTTGAAGACCATGGTCTCGGATTTAGAGGAGCTGATTCTCACCCGAGCTGTTTCACACTCTGCGGGCTGCGAACCGCTCCAGCGAAAGCTGGAGATCATTGTCTGATGAAGCCAACAGGACCACATCATCTGCGAAAAGCAGAGACCTGAGCCTCAGGCCACCTAAACACCCTCAACACCTTGGCTGTGCCTAGAAATCCTGTTCATAAAATTTATGAACAGAATCAGTGACAGCCTTGGTGGAGTCCAATTCTCACCTGAAACTAGCTCGACTTACTGTCAGCAATGCGGACCAAGCTCTGACACCGGACATACAGGGACCTAACAGTCCATATCAAAGGGCCTGGTACCCCATACTCCCGTAGTACCCCACGTACCCCCTTGTGGATGCAGTTGAACACCTTCTCCAAATCCACAAAACACATGTAGATTGGTTGGGCAAACTCCCACGCACCCTCCAGGATCCCCTAAGAGTATAGAGCTGGTCCAGTGTTCCACGGCCAGGGCGAAAACCATATTGCTTTTCCTGAATTCGAGGTTCAACAATCGGATGGACCCTCCTCTCCGCAGCCCCTCTCCTCTTCTATACTGCCCCCTAGTGTTAGACACAACATATGTTTCAATAGTTTACTGGTTTTCAGTTTGATCAAATCGTAACTAATCAAATTATGTCTTCAGGTCTCGACAATCCCCTGGATGATGTGCTTGATGACTTACTTCCAGGTGAATCCCAGCCCGAATCAAAACCTCGACTGTCCAAAGCAGAAAAATCTCTTCCATCTGCATTAGCATCCCCAAACCTGAAGAACAGAACAAGTAAGTCGAAGATTTCCCAAGATAGTCCTTTTTCATTTTTAGTTTCACAAGTAAAAATTAAATCTTGTTTGTTCGACAGCAAAGACTTCCAAAAACGACGTGTTCTCTTTTACCGACGATGACAACGGCAACCTCATAGATGATCTCGGGTTAAACAGAGACAAAAACAAGAAGAAAGAAGCTTCATTTTGGTCTTCTAAAGAGAAGTACCAGCTCTGTTTTCACTCTGTTGCTCACGTGATAAATGATTGCTCCATGCTTTCGGCTTTGGTACACAGATGAAACCATGCCCAAGACTGGTATGTGTTCTTCAAACATGTCTTCCTCTCTGGGGTTTGTACCACTTCTAGGAGCAATGACTCTCAGAGACCTCGTACAAGAATTGATGATATTCTCGAGGGTTTTACCTCATCGCATCTTCTAGATCGACCCCCCACAGGTGAGAGGAATGACCAGATTCAGTCCCAAGAGAAGCAGCAACAAGAGAAGAACTCTACAGTTAGAGGTCAGAGAATATTGTTGCTTTTATTTGTTGAAATAAGCAAAAAACTAAAGAAAGTGAAGTTCTCATATTTCTGTTTGGCAGATTTAGATGGTGACTTCACGTTTGGTTCCTATCAGCCCACAGTGGGGTCCACCCCTGAGGGCCGGCAGTCCCGCCGACAGTCCGTTAAGTGGGTCCAACCTTTGTGGCTCTTTGGTGTTGATTAGACTTTTAAAGTTAGATACAGTCGTAAAAATCACTTACTTAAAAACTGAACTATTCATTGGATTATAATCAATATACACTCAATTTTATCTAAATTAGGGCCTGGACTTGATGAAAAATTTTAATCTAATTAATTACAGGCTTTGTAATTAATTAATCTAAATTAATCGCATTTTAATTGTTCAGGAAAATGTGCTCTCAAAGTAAAACTTTTAATTAAAATTATGAAACAGAGAATCAAACATTAGACATGGTTATTACTGTAAACTAAAAATGTCACTGTGTGATATGAAACAAAACCCAAATCAACTAAAATTTCAAATACAAATAGAAAACACCTGCAAAGGGTTCCTGAGCCTTTAAATTGTCTCTCTGTCTAGATGAATGACTGAAATAAATTTGACTTTGCACCAGATTCTAATTTTTCCAGTTTCACTTGTTTGTATAATTGGGAGTTTTATTAACATTTCTACTCATAATGTAGTAAAAACACATATAAATAATAATCCTTCAAAATGACAGTAGAACTGGCACAAATATGATCTAGGACTTAAATGTACTAACTTTTAACACCAGAGCAGGCATGGAATATTCTGAGAATGATCAGGAACACTAACTGGTTCCAGTTGGATGACTGGAGGTTGATGGGATGATAAAAGATCATGGCGAGGAAATAATGATCTGACGAACAGGTGAGCGGACCTTCCTTACATGGGAAGTCCTGATGTCACGTTAAGAAGGGGATGCTGCCGACCCACAGATTCACGCCTGCAGCAGCGAATCTGGTGTGATCTCCAGCCTGATCACAACTTTCTCGTTCCTCGCTGCCCCTGATGCACTTAAACATCCGCCCCTTAGCTGATGACAGCTTCAACACACCTGCTGCTTAATGATAGTAATGCATGTGATGTTTAGACAGACTCGTCTCAGAAACGTATAACGCCCCGACAGAATTGTTTAGAAAATCATCAGAAAAGTTTCAGAGTGTTTCTGTCTTAAACTTCTGTTTTCAACTTTAAGACACGTTGTCTGTGATTGTTTACAGAGTAGTGAGAACACGGCAGCCAGGTGCCTCTCGTTTGTCTGACTACTTTCATAAACTACTGTTAGGACACAGAATTATTCTGTCTGGTGCTTTCGGCGCTGCACAGATGTTATGTAAATGTTAAAAATATAGCTTACCGCTACTTTTGTAAAGTTTCCGGTGCCACCGGGCAGCCGCAGCAGAGACGATCTCTAAAAAATGTCCGCGACACGGACTCCATTGTTGTCTGGAAGTTTTTTTTTCCAAGTTGAGAAAAGAAGCGGACGTGTTTCCTAAGTCCTGCATCAGTCCAAGCAAGGCACCTTCTTTCTGTTTTTATTCCATTTTAGTAGCCATTAGCACTGTGCATTGTTGTGTGTGTCAGTGATATTCAGTCTACGAGGAAATCGTGCAATGACAAAGGTTCCGCCGTGCTTGAAATGCAAGCTGCGATTAAATGCGTTAATTTTTTAATGCGTTATTTTATTTCTAATTAATTAATAGTAATTAACGTGTTAAAGTCCCGGCCCTAATCTAAATGTATAAACTTTTCACAAACGGTCTAAAACATTATTTCAATAATTTGCCCCTTTACATTAACACAAATTTCTTCCTTCTCCCCCTACTGGTTGAAAGCAAAATTACAACTGCTGCAAATAGGAATGCACCGATACCGGTATCGGGCCAATACAGATACAGGTATCGGTAAAAGTTAACCGATACCAGGAACCGATACCAATGCAGTTGTCTGAAAGTGGCTTCACTGTAATTTGTCATTTCTGTTCACCTAATATTTTAGTTTTGTGATCATTTCTATTTATATATTTTATTTTTTATCTACCTGACGGTCTTTTCCGGTTGACAACAGGAAAAAAAAACCTGTGTTCCAAATCATTGCCTTTTTTTGTGTGGTAGAAGTATCGGTAATCGGTATCGGCGAATACTCAGATCCAAGTTTCGGTATCGGTATCAATTTGGAAAAAAGTGATATCGTTGCATCCCTAGTTGCAAACAACCCTGCCAATGTTCACTCTGATTTTAGCTCTTTGCTTTGCCTCTGAAGACATTCCTTTCTTCTTTTTACTTTCAGGCTCGTCCATGATGCCCAAAAAAGGCAAAATTCTTCTTCTTTTTTTCTTTATTGACAATCGCTTAGCTGATAAAGCTAACTGCTAGCCTTTATATTAGCTACCAGCACAGCAAACTCCACCCCGATCACTGTTCCTACGCAAACCACCAAAGTAGTCTATGCAGTTTCTGGCCAGCAGAGGGCTACAGAGTGATGTCCAACGTGAAGAAGCTCAACTTTCTGGTTCAAGAATACTAAAACCAGTTTAAAAGCTTTTCTCCTTGTGATCAGGTTTTCCACGGAGGATGTTAGCATCTCCACCCCAGAGAAGAAACCAAAACCCACCATCCGACACCGCAACTCCTCTGACTGGCTCGGCCTCAAGACGGATAGCGAGTCTGATCGCTTAGGAGATGGTCCCAAAGAGGTGAAAGCTTCTGTGCTCTCCCCAAAAGGCCCCTTCTCTCCCATATCAGACAGAAAGCTCTCCGTAACCGGAGGTCAAGCCACATTCCTCACCAAAACAGCAACAGGTGCTGATGTTGAGACTAAGCAGAACAAATCAGAGGCCGCTAAAGGTCAGAGGAAAGGTGAGGAAGAGGAGGACGACTGGTTGGCTGGAGCGCTGACCAGGAGGAAGGCTCTGTCTGCATCCAACAACGAAACTAAAACTTCCACGCAGCAGGACTTCGTAGGAGTGGATCCAGCTGTTAGGTAGCATGCAAAACTCACACAAGCACAGACAAACACGCTTTAGTCATAAATAACAGGATTTTGTTTTCAGAAACCAAATCACACCTCAAACTTCCAGAGGCATAGAAGACACGCTCCCATCCATCCGGGACACCAGGTGAGATCTGCGTATGATAAATCTACCAATCCTTCTGTGTTACAACATTTAGGGAGGTCAAACGTTTCCTTTTCTCAGCCCTGCAGCTCATTCCACTCCTGTCAGAGAGGAGAAGCCCAATCAAGGTATTAAACTCTGCCACTCAGTCATGAGTTTTAATCAAACGATCCCGTTTCATTTCCACCGTCCGCCACAGCGTTCTGCTTTTCTGAATGTTTCCACACCACAAAATCAGCTTTTATTCACAGTGCTCACAAGCGGCTACATGCTGTTTCTGACACGTAATCCTGGCCTGGATCTCGTCAAGATCAGGTGTTTTAGTTCGTGGTGCAGTGTGTTATGGGCACTTTTATTATCGTTTCAGATCCACAGCAAACGCAGCGCACATCAACGGCTGTCCAGCAACAGGTGCGCTTACCGCTTCTGGATGAAAACCACGTGGTCCTAAACAAAAAGGTGGCTTTTTAAATCGTCCTGTTTTTGCTTTACAGGTGTCCATCACAGCTGATCTGCAGCCGCAGGTGAGACTGGATAATGTAACGGAATGAAATGACTGTTTTTTCCCTCCTCTGACACAGGAATAGTCTGCATGAGAGAAAGTCTCAAGGTCTCATGCATTCGCTCTAACCTAATTATTTTCAGCTCAACAGAAGAATGAACTCTTTTCTTTTAATTAATCAAAGAACTCTATTTTAATGAAGCTAATCCAACCAAGTGTTAGTCAACAAATAAGATGTGACCGATCTGTGAAATCAAAATGTCAGTAACTTTATTATTATCCTATAGAATATAAAGGTACTGTGACTTTAAGTGATCCAACAGGACTCATTTCACGTAGCGTTAAAAGACATGACACATTACTTTCACTGATCCAATCAGAATCTGACAGATCTGACGGAGGCGTGGTTTCGATGGTGTTTGGTAACTCTGTCAACTTTTCATTCGACCATAAACCAAAACATCCGAAGTATAAAACTATGCCCACGTCATCTCTAACGCCAGTTCAAAGCGTTCCAGAGAAGTTGTCGGAGTGGCCAATCCGTAACTCTCCTCTTTAACCGTAAGAACCAACGACAAGCTGGAAAATTCGTTTTTGTTCCAACTGCTGCAACAGTTCCTTTCAGAATAAAAGCTGAACTATCATGACCCCGGCTCGGGTCTCACCAGACTCCAACAAATTGTCGTGACCCGGAAGTATCTCACAGACTGGTCTGGTCGGCAACCGCTGCTTTTCCTACCGGCTCGGTTCCAGAGAGGGTCAAGCTGGACCTCGACATTCCTGATCTAAAGGGGGCTTCCTGAAGGGTAGGTAGACCGGCAAATGGCGTTGAATGTGTTTATGAACCTCCTAACCAAAGCTTAACGCGAAGACAACACCTTCAGTTCCCATCAGAACTAATCGCAGCTTCGGATTTGCTGGTTCTGATCACATCACACGTCATCCATTCACCGTCTCATCCACTTTAGTTACACCATACATTTAGTTTTAAAGTCAGTCTAGTTTAATTTGTTAGTAATAAAATTCTTAACTTTTAAACTTTACTCTCTCTCTTCTGTTGTCTCTGAGTGAATATGAAGCCGTTATCTTATCCCTGCATTAAAAAGATCCAATCTTCTGATTTAAATAACCTCACAGATCCGTAAGGTGGATTTCATATTTCCTATGGAATCCTACGCCTTATGGCTTATTAAATCACATGTAATTTAAATCATTACAATAAAAAAGAGCACTCGTCTCATTTGATCATGTTTATATCACCCGGAGTGTTTTTGTGATTTGGGCTTCTCTTCCTCTAAAGAATCCACTGCTGGGTTTAGGAAGTGTTGCTATCTCAGAAGTCCTGCAGAAACAACATGGAGATGAACCTTTACAAGCCCGGGTCATCCAGTTGGAGGGCCAGGTATGTCCCCATTCAAACCGCTGTAAAAGTCAGAGGCGCTCACCAGATTTTGTTGCTTTTATTGACAGTAAAAAAAATACATTTCCCATAATCTAGGTGAAGGTTCTCCAGCTGGAGCGAGACCAAAGCCGGATGATGCTAGAGAACATGCAGCAGAGGCATAAACAGGATCTGGAGCTCCTGGAGAGTGCACACAAGTAATTCATGCTTCAGCGGGACCTAAACGAGCCTCGTCAGGGGTCATGTTTTTAACTGACGTTTCGTGTCTCCAGGACTCGTGTGAAGCTGTTGGAGGAGTCTGCGGCACAGAGGGAGACCCGAGCACGGCTCGAATGCGAGGAGCTGATGGAGCGGCTGGCCTCGCTGACGCGATCCGCTGAACAGGAGCGCTCCGATCTGCTGGCTCAGTACCATCGAAAGCTGGCCCAAGCGCAGCAGGACCGAGACCGCGAGGTGGACAGACTCCGAGACCTCCAAAGGTAAAAGGTGGAGCATGGATTGAGTCTGGTTTTAAACCAACGGAGCCCTGGATGACCTGCCTGGCTACATTTCTTTGTTTAAGGAAATCTATCCTGGAGATGAAGAAAGACCACGAGGACCAGCTGCAGAGGCTAAAGAGACTAAAGGACGAGGAGATCGACGCTGTGACAAGTGCAACATCTCAAACCAGGCGAGTCAGGGAAGGATGAGTAAACTTTAAAACAGAGAGATGTAAATAAACATAACGAGGTGACTCGGGAGAAAATAAGAAAACGTGTTTTAAAATAAGGCAAAAATGACCATTTCAGGTAGTCATTAAACCATCATGAGATCATTCACCTGATTTCTTTATTACAAGACTCCGTTAGCCTATTGAACATCAGATGTGGAGTTTTTCCCACAACATGACTTACTTCCACCTCGTTGGTGGCTCTAGGGGCGGAGCCACAGGGACGTTGATCTGATTGGCCCCCTGAAGTGCCTCTGTCCTGCCATCTGTCCTTTGTGCAATCATCTAAACTCGAGTGATGTTATTGAGCCAGATAGCAATCTTGCATAAGGATGTTGAAGCAATACTTGGCCCCTCTGGAGATTTAGTGTCCCCACACTTAAAAAATATCGTAGACCTGCCACTGATCCACCTGCTAATTATCTAGAACCAGAACTCGGCAAAAAGAGCTAAACTTCCTTCTTTTTCCACGACCACAATCTTGACCCTTCTTATTCTGACCCAGATTCTAATCCTGATTCTGGTATTAATACTGACCCTGATCCAGATTCTAATCCTGATTCTGGTATTAATACTGACCCTGATCCAGATTCTAATCCTGATTCTGGTATTAATACTGACCCTGATCCAGATTCTAATCCTGATTCTGACATTAAAGGGACTTTACGGAGTTTTGAATTTTTATGCTCGTGATTGCCCCCTCAGGCCAAAAGCGTAACGGCAGCTTCAATAGTAGGCTCGTGCACGAGGCGCACATGCTGTACGTGCACACTCCTTAACGAAAATAACAGCTGAGACAGTCCCGTGTGTGTGTGTGTGTGTGTGTGTGTGTGTGTGTGTGTGTGTGTGTGTGTGTGTGTGTGTGTGTGTGTGTGTGTGTGTGTGACCCGGAGGACAGAGGACAGGAGAACTTGCAGCTAATTAATTAAATAATTTGGTTCTGTACCTTTCTCTTCAGCACAGCCGACAAAGGTTTAAGATGGGTCAGTCCTCCTGCATGCTCAGATCATTCCCTTCCCTTGCTTGAAAAATTGTTCCAAAATGAAAGTTGAACCCACATCTTTTTTATCTGTGAATTCAATGCCGTTCGGCGAGTCTCAAATAAAAATTTGGGCGTCTTACAGGTGCTGGCCAGTAAATTAGAATATCATCAAAAGGTTGAAAATATTTCAGTAATTCCATTCAAAACGTGAAACTTGTACATTATATTCATGCAATGCACACAGACCAATGTATTTCCAATGTTCATTACATTTAAATTTGATATTTATAGGTGACAACCAATGAAAACATCAAATCTGGTATCTCAGAAAATTAGAATATTCTAAAGGCCAATGAAAAAATGTTTGTTTCTCTAATGTTGGCCAACTGAAAAGAATGAACATGAAAAGAATGTGCATGTATAGCACTCAATACTTAGTCGGGGCTCCTTTTGCCTCAATAACTGCAGTAATGCGGCGTGGCATGGACTCGATCAGTCTGTGGCACTGCTCAGGTGTTATGAGAGCCCAGGTTGCTCTGATAGTCGTCTTCAGCTCCTCTGCATTGTTGGGTCTAGCGTATTGCATCCTCCGCTTCACAATACCCCATAGATTTTCTATGGGGTTAAGGTCAGGCGAGTTTGCTGGCCAATCAAGGACAGGGATACCATGGTCCTTGAACCAGGTGCTGGTGGTTTTGGCACTGTGTGCAGGTGCCAAGTCCTGTTGAAAGGTGAAGTCTGCATCCCCATAAAGTTGGTCAGCAGCAGGAAGCATGAAGTGCTCTAAAACTTCCTGGTAGACGGCTGCATTGACCCTGGACCTCAGGAAACAGAGTGGGCCAACACCGGCAGATGACATGGCACCCCACACCATCACTGACGGTGGAAACTTTACACTGGACCTCATGCAACGTGGATTCTGTGCTTCTCCGCTCTTCCTCCAGACTCTGGGTCCTTGATTTCCAAAGGAAATGCAGAACTTGCTTTCATCAGAAAACATAACTTTGGACCACTCAGCATCAGTCCAGTCCTTTTTGTCCTTGGCCCAGGCGAGACGCTTCTTGCGCTGTTTCTTGTTCAAGAGTGGCTTGACACACGGAATGCGACACCTGAATCCCATGTCTTTCATGAGTCTCCTCGTGGTGGTTCTTGAAGCGCTGACTCCAGCTGCAGTCCACTCTTTGTGGATCTCCCCCACATTTTTGAATGGGTTTGTCGTCACAATTCTCTGCAGGGTGCGGTTATCCCTAGAGCTTGTACACTTTTTTCTACCACATTTTTTCCGTCCCTTCGCCTGTCTGTTAATGTGCTTGGACACAGAGCTCTGCGAACAGCCAGCTTCTTTAGCAATCACCTTTTGTGTCTTGCCCTCCTTGTGCATGGTGTCAATGATTGTCTTTTGGACAGCTGTTAAGTCAGAAGTCTTCCCCATGATTGTGGTGCCTTCAAAACAAGACTGAGGGACCTTTTAAAGGCCTTTGCAGGTGTTTTGAGTAAATCAGCTGATTAGAGTGGCAGCAGGTGTCTTCTATATTCAGCCTTTTCAGAATATTCTAATTTTTTGAGATACCAAATTTGGAGTTTTCATTAGTTGTCACTTATGAATATCAAATTTAAATGTAATGAACATTGGAAATACATTGGTCTGTGTGCATTGCATGAATATAATGTACAAGTTTCACGTTTTGAATGGAATTACTGAAATATTTTCAACCTTTTGATGATATTCTAATTTACTGGCCAGCACCTGTACTGTAAAAAAATATATCATTAATGTAAAAAAGAAACTCTAAATGAACTATGTTCACACCCAGAATCAAACCCAGGTCTTCTGCACGGGAGTCCGACGTTTTACTAGATGAGCTAAAGCGCCAATAACGTCCTTCGTATCTGTAAATTTTATATTCTTGATGACAGCTGAAACAATGTTCAAAGAACGGTTTGGAGCGAAAATGGCTATTTTGTTGCTAATTTGCAGGAAATATCTAGAACAAAGTTCTACAGAAAGTAGCTAAGGGTCCTCAGAAATGTAGCTAGCTTTGTCGCTAGGCGTTAGGAACAGCGACAGAGTCGCTGAGTTGGCACTGCCTCTCTCTCTGCTGCTAAAGCTACGGATAGCAAATGCTACGGGCTATGCCTGGGCGTGGATGTGCATGAAGCAGCCTGCTCGACCCGAGCAGCTCTCTTTTTCTGTGATTTTACAGAAAAACAGGCAATCACAGTAAAAAGGCCAGGGCTCATTCTACAGGACCAGGGCATTGCAGGAGAATGTATGAAGGAGAAATTTATTATTTCTATACATGTTTTGGCTGTCAAACTTCCATAATGCCCCTTTAATACTGACCCTGATCTTGATTCTAATCCAGATTCTGATCTTGAGTATAATCACTATGCTAATCCTTATTCTTATTCTGATCCTGATTCTTATCCTGAATTTAATCTCGATTCTGATTCTAATCCTGATTCTGACATTAATACTGACCCTGAATTTGAATCTAATCCCAATTCTAATCTGGATTCTGATCTTGATTCTAATCACTATTCTAATCCCAATTCTGACCCTAATTCTAATCCTGAATTTAATTCCGATTCTGATTCTAATCTTGATTCTGTTATTAATACTGACCCTGCTCTTGATTCTGGTTGGACACAGATCTCTGACAGGAGTGATAGAGCAGATGGAGCAGTTCTCCTCCCGCCTTGGAGAGCTCTCGTCTCGAGTGGAGAGCTCACACGAGCACACGGCTCAGGGCCTGGAGCAGGGGGCGCGGCACAGAGACGAGCAGCTCCGAAGTACCTCAAACAAACACACACACACGCGCACACACACACACACAGTAGAAATAGGTCAAGATACAAGCTAAGCACATCTTTAAAATGTGTCTACTAGCAATGCAGGACCGCCTGACCCAGCAGCAGAAAGCCACGGCAGAGGAGAGAACTTACCTGAAGGACATCATCTCCAGGATGGACGCCCAGCTCAGCGAGCAGCAGCGGCAGCTGGAGAAGGTGTGGATGTGGACAGCATGAGCTTCTTTATGTATTAATACAGGAAATGAGGTGCACCACGCCCACATAAATAAACCATCTATTTCCTTATGCAGATGCATCAATGGACCACTTTAGTAGTGAAAATCTGCGGGTGTGGATGAATCCTAATTTCATACAAAACCCTCTAAAAGCTTTTATGAGGGTCGGAGAGGGGAAAAAACAAAACTGGGAAGTTATGAACATAAATCTGGTTCCACACAAGAGAAATAATCAGTCAAATATGTTAAAAGTAATTTAAATGTTATATATTTTTTCGTAAATCTTAGCAAAATATGCATTTGTAATGAAAATTTGGAGGCAAAATGCAGAGAAAAACACGGGACCTGTTTTTAATTGACCAGGTTTTGACACCCGTTCTGTTCTTCTGAAGCACAAAAAGCAGAAACACATCTAAGACCAGAGCTGCAGGGGTTTGCAAAGACTGTGTAATAAATTGAAATATATGAAGCTGTTGCTGTGGGAGCTGAGTGCACACCAGTACAGTACCTACATACAGTAGTTTAACGCTCTAGAACCAACTGTATGAAACTTCTAGCTTCTGGTTTCTGCTCTGCAGGAACGCTGGAAGGCGACAGCAGAGCAGGCCAAAGCGGAGTCCATCCAGAGGGGCTTGGAGGAAGAGCGGCGCGTCCTCACCCTGCAGATCAGCATGGAACGAGAGGAGCTGGAGAGAGCAAAGGTCTGGGTCTGAGCAGAACCCAGCACCGACCCCACCAAGCTCCGCCTCATCCCGTAACGTCTGTGGGCTTTTCTTCTCCAGTGCGCGCTGCTGGAGGAGCAGAAGACTGTGATGCAGCACTGTGCAGAGGAGAGAAGGAAGCTGGCAGCCGAGTGGACCCACTTCCACACTCAGGAGAAGCAGAGGCACGAGAGAGCTGAACGAGAGGTCAACAGCCTCCTGGAGAGGAGGGAGGGCTCCATCATCAGCCTGGCACAAGTGGGCCTCCTAACCTGGCGCCGCTCATAAGTATTACAGCAATGTTGGAGAAATATTTGCTGTTTTTTTTTTTTTTTTTTTGTAGGAACAAGCTGAACTGAAGCTTCGAATGGCAGAGCTGAAACTGAAGGAGGCAGCTGTGTCGCAAGAGAAGGAAGCTCTGGACCGACTCAGAGAAGACCTGGACAGAGACAAGGAGAGGATAAGCAACACGGCTCTGAGGCTGAAAACGCGCGCCCAGGAGGTGGAAGCCTTTGGCAAGGTGATTTCACGCTCCACTGGCCTCAGCTCGCCTGGCACCAGTGGCTCTGACTTTTGTTGATGTCTGCAGCTCGCCTCGGAGAAGCAGGAGGAGGGGGAACGAGCGCTGCGGGAGGCGAGACGCTCAGAGGCAGAACACGAAGCACGGCTCCAAAATATTCACTCTCAAACAGCGAGCCTGAGGCTGCTGGAGCAACGTGTCCTAAAGGTGTGCGTGTGTGTGTGTGGTGACCGTCACACTGGGCTGTCCTAATGTGTTCAAACCCCACAGGAACGAATGCGGTCACATCATCTACAGGGAGACGAGACGAGACAAATGCTGTCCACCTCACCCTCAGCTCAGAATATTCCACCAGTTTTACCAGGCAAGGCTGGTTATAACTGCTTGTGTATAAATATCGTCTTATTTTGAAATCTCACATAAAAAGCAGTTTTTCCTTCGTCTTTCTGTAGATTCAGTGTTTCTACCCATCCCTGAGCTGTCAACATCCCAGAATATTCTTCCACAGAGTAGCTACAGGTCACTGGCGCTGGAAACCAGTCTGGCTCTGTGGAAGTACACAGGAGATAAGGTAACAGAAATCTGAGAAAATGTGCCATTAGAGCCACCATAGATGGGAAAAGGATTCAATAATAGCTCAAGATAGTGAGGAAAATCTAAACATTCATCAGAAACTTCCTGGATTCAAATAAACTGGGATGATGCGGAGATTAAATAATAAATCTGAACCAAAATGTTAGCAGAATCAAATATTTTACGTTTATACATAAGGCAAAAAAAAAAACCTAATAATCTGAGATTTCTGGTTACTTTTTTCTGATATTTACATTCATAAATTAACTAGTCTAAACTTCCAGAAATGTTTTTAGACAACTTCGGGGATCACACTCTGATAATGTGTGGAAATCTTCCATTTTTAATGGGCTTAAAGTGGCAGAAACGAATGTCTGAAAATAAAAATCCCACCTGACTTGCTTGGCCATGATAGAAACTTTCAGAGAGAAAAAAAAGGAATAAGTTTTAAAAATGACATTTGGTTTCCAGATAATCTATACAAGTTTGTTTATAAAAGGACACACATTAGTTTGACTTTTTATTAGACATGTTTTACACATCAAGTAGCACACAGATCAAATGTTTATTTTCGTGGCTTTTGTCTTTCTGCAGGATAAAGACTTCCTTGAAGAGCAGCAGATCTTTCTAGAAAACCTCAAGAAGATGAATCACAAACTGAAAACCGCCTGATAGCTCTCAAAACTCTTTCAGTATGAATACCTGAACGTTTATATTTTAATAAAATTGATTCTCATTCTGAAATCTGTTTCTTGACATCGGAGCTCCTGATCAAAGCTGGTTGTGGGTCAGCAGCTTCACCATCTGTAGGGTAATAACAGATAATCCATTACCAGACATCAGAACAACTGATGGATTCAGTAAAAGCTCCTCCAGTCAAGCCTCAGGTTACCATGACTCCACACCAGAGTTCAGACAGGGATAACTTGTATCATCACAGGCTTGACTGTAAAGCAGATCTTCCTCATTTACCTGGTCGTCAGTTACAGGACTCCCACATGCTCTGGTCTGGATCTGCTACTGGGACATCTGAATCAAAACATACAAGATCAATGTGCAACTTTAGAATAAAAGGTATGATCACACACCCCAATGGAGAAAAATAGCCTTTTCTCAGAATAGAGCTTGTGATCGTCAGTTATCGCATCAGACGGCACTTCCTATGCAAAAGTTTTCATCACTGAAAAATAGTATGCATCGTCAAGAAGCTGCAGAACACTTGCCTGATCCACTACCTGGTCCTGAGTTTTCACATCCAGAACATCTGCAACAACACGGTGAATTAGTGCTTACATCTTGATGTGTGCGTGTGCACATAAGTCCTTCGATTAGATCAGATACCATTTATTTCCACAAACTGAATTATTTCAGACAGGGATAACAAACTCATCACGTGTTCTGTAAACCAGAATCAAATACTACACTCGATTTACCTTCATGGTCCTTTTAAGGCATCGACCCCCACACCAGTCCAACTTCTGCGATTAAAACCCTAACAGGTGAATCAAATCCAAGTTTAACTTCAATGTGTTAACCGTCAAGTTGTATACACGCTGCTCTGGTTTCATTAAACATCTTTTATGAAATCGGCACCGCGTGGCCCAGCTACACGTGCTGCCCAAGCTAAAAGATAGCTAGCAGCTAGCAAAAGGGTTAGCCCACAAGTCGGCTTAAATATAAATAAACAGACACCATGTTGAATCCAACATTTAGGCGTACCCGTTTAAGGTGGCTAATCTACACCAGACTTCTTATTAACAGATAGCTGCTGAAGCTCGACGAGTGGAAACATCTTCAGACTGCTCTTACTAGGACGGCTCCGTCTTCTTCACCAGGATAATGAAGGAAGTGTCGCGAGAAAATAGTTTCTCCCGCGTTAACGTCACGTGATTCAGGGCGGGGTGTTTTAAAAGAGTTAAAAAAATAAAAGTAAAGAAATCACAATTACTAAAATTAAACACAAATATGTAATCATTGCTTAAACATTTGCAAATTACAAAGTAAGTGTTCAAAAAGCTGAAGATTCATTCTTTTTTATGGGTCTTTTTAGTCATTCACAATAAGACTGCAGCTGGTGAGAATCTGAACTCATAGTTCATTTAAATCAGGTGTCGCCAACCTGGTGCCTCCAGAAGCCCGATAGGGTGCCATCAGGCCTTAGCACAATTATTTATCGGTTGCTATATTTTTTTAATTGCACCTTATGATTAAAAAAATGGCAGCAGAGATGGCTTACAGAATTGTGAGAACTACAGAAGAAGAAATTAATGACACATACAATAAAGCTCTAGAAAAGATTTGTGAAACCTAGGGTTAGGTCAGAAGTGAACATTTGTAAGCTGCAGAAAGGTTTGATGCCAAGCAGTGGCGATTTTACCATTAGGCATAGGTCGGCGGCCGCTTAGGGCCCCCTTATGTTGGGGGGCCCCCTAGCCCTGACCGCCGGCACCCTTCTGTTAAAGGCCCTATGTGTGAAATCCATTGAAATCATGATGAAAAAATTTGACACTTTAGCACCATGCAGTTCAGAGAAAGTATTGCAGCTACGGTGGCTCACTCATGAGTTTGATTGTACAATCAATTTCCAACCTGTGTATCACACAAAGCTTAAAACAAGCTACTTGACTTCTTTAACCCTCCCACTGTCCTAATGGGTGTGACCCCATGAGGAAAGTTGACCAATGAGCAGGATTGATGGTTTATCCCTTGGGTCCACGTGGCAGGGGTGAGGAGTGAGCACCACCTCACCCCTGCCACGTGGACCTCAAGGGATAAACCATCAATCCTGCTCAATGGTCAACTTTCCTTGTGGGGCCACACCCATAAAAACAGTGGGAGGGTTTAAAAAAGCATTTATAATTATGACTGTATTATCAACCTACCAGTTCTGAAGGAAGCAAGCTAGTTCTGTTCTTGAGGCTGTCACGATTCACACACGGAGGATGGGTGACGTCAGCCGGGAGGTCAGGTGTGAGAAATTGTGCTCCCCTGAAATATTCTGTCCCCCCATGTTGGGAGATCGCACTTCTGGCTATTCTCACAACATTTGTGATAACATTTTATGGGAAAATTATGTAATGTATTGTAATAATGTCATGCTTGTGATTTTTTGATCTGTATTTCCTCCTAAAAACAATAAAAAAGGTACAGTAAAAAAATTCTTGTTCACTCTTTTGCAGCAAGCTTTTTTTTTATCTTTATTTCATTCAATAAAAAATAACACAACAGATACTAAACAATATTCATGAAAACACAATATATATTTGAATGAAAGGGAGCAGATAGAAAAAAAATCTTATTATTTATGCCCTCTTTTTAAACTTAAATATCAATTTATATTTGTGCAGTCCCTCACCAGTTCTTTCAGTCCCGTAACTGTTCACATTTGTTAATTATTATGTCCACATCAATTGTCCATTGTCATATCCACTCAACACACGTGATTTAATGTGTAGACTGAACACTTTATCAGTTTTGAAAGTTATGTAAAAAGATGTAATCTCACTCAGTTTAACCGTCTTTTATTTGAGGTAGTTTATGTTTATGTTTATATATTTAGCAGACGCTTTTGTCCAAAGCGACTTACAAGTGATAATCGGCATATTGCCCTTGAGGCTAACAACAACAATAACAACAACAACTTGACATCAGTCATGGAGTTTAGTCCTCATAATGGACAATAAGTTCTGTAGATTTGGAAATATTTGCTCTTGACTGCCTGAGGGAAACAGAATATTCAGGGGAACATAATTTCCCACAACACCCGTTTCACGTGGATCTCGGCACCCTGATGTGTACAAACTGGCTGCTGCTACCAGCTTATATAGATATGGAGCGATCACTGGCTGATCGTTAAGTACGGCTGGTGAAGGAGGGTTGGTGAGCTGAGGACACGCTGGAGATCAAGTAAACAATGATGACTTATCCACCAGCTAATGGTGGCTCACGGCTGGTGTGGTGGACATGGACGTCACGAGCTACCGAGTTACTAGTTAGCCATGGCTAGAGCCGGGAGAGACGCTGTGCATGCTGTGCGTAAACTCCCACGGATTCCCAGCAAAAGGAGACCCAAGTCTAAAGGTAAAGTTTGAGAAGAAACCCTCTGAGTCAGAGCGTCTCAGTAACGCGTGGAGAACTACATCACTGTTAGTAAAGTGTCTGTGGAGATAAAGTAAACAATGCTGATTTAGTCACTGGCTAGCACATGAGCACTGGAGCGTGTTGGGCCAGACGGCAGGCTGCAGGAAGAGAAGAGACTTGAGTAAGGTCTTTGGAACAGACACGTTGGGACCGGGTCGGGTGTTCTGTTACTGACACGTTGGGACCGGGTCGGGTGTTCTGTTACTGACACGTTGGGACCGGGTTGGGAGTTCTGGTTCTGACACGTTGGGACCGGGTCGGGAGTTCTGGTACTAGGAAAAGATGAATGAACAACTTGAGGTGAGTTTGGGAGTCAGAGACACTAATCGGAGGCTGGCGTCCAGCCAATAGTTGGTGAGGATCTGAACATACGCGGCTTTCTTGTGTTGAACATGATGACGGACTGACAAATTTTCTGTGTCTTTTGATTTATTATTCAAACTAACAAGTACAGCAACGGTGCAGCTATTATTTTCTATTTCTTAGTTGAATTAGCAGACTCCATGCTTCCAAGGCGCACTGCTGCCCTCTGCTGGTTCTGTCAGGTTACAGTCATAGTCCAAACGGTAACGTGGAGCTTGTATGTCCCTAAACAGCTACTGTATTTTAAGATGGTGGATAACCATGGAGCCTCGACCACAGTTTATGTATATAAAAATGTATAATTTCAAATTGAGAGGAATATTTAGAATTGATGTTGGTGAGAAATATTGGTGAAAAAGGACAAGTTTGTGAACTGGAAGCACAGGATTTGACAGTAAACTGGTAAAATTATCACACACTGCGCCTTTAATGCCACAAGATGCAAAAACAGGAAGTGACTGGTAGTCATTCCACTCCAATACAGTTGGTGGCAGTAATGCACCAAATTGTTGTTTGCCAAGTGCCATAGGACCACAAATAAGAAAAAGAAGAGAAAACAGAAAAAGAAGAAGAGAGGCGGGAGCGTTCGTAACAAACTCGAAACATTAAGCATGAAATGGAGTTATCCTAGTGGCTCCAATAAGAGAAAGAAGCAGCTTGCTTCAAAAAAGATTTTATCTTCACTTCCGAAAGTGACGTTGTTTTTCAATGTAAACATCAAACGGATGCAGAAAAGGAAAGACAATGGAAAATGTTTAAAGGAAAGAAAACGTAGACCAAAATGGAAAACAGAAAATAAACAAATAACAAAGGCAAAAGCACAGGAGCACTGACAGAAAGAAGAAAGCAGAGCAAATATTGAAAGCACTTAAAGAGAGGGAAAGACAGGAAAAAAGAGGAGGGCTAATAAAAAGGGAAAATAACTAATGGCAGAAGAGGGGAGAGTTTTGCAAATCCAGTTAAAGGTAAGATTGTCAAAAATTTTGTGCAAGGGGCCCGGTGTCTGTGTTCGCCTTGGGTGCCAAAATAGCTAAATCCGCCACTGATGCCACGAACTGAGCCAGCATGCATAGGTGGCCCTACATGGCTATATAGGTGCAAACAGGGTTTGTCTGCAAATTCCATGGTGGCCCCACAGAGCTTTGCCCACAGATTTTAACAAGCCTATGTGTGTGTCAAACCATCTGGGTCCCCCTGAAAACTAACGTAGGCCATTAAAATCTATGTGGGCAAACCCCTGTGGGGCCACCATGTAAACCGCGGGCAAACCCTGTTGGCACCCATAAGGTTTGCTCCTATATATCCATATGGGACTCACCCATGCATGCTGGCTGGGAATGCGACAGACACTACCTTTCCTTTAAGGATGCTGGCGGAGAAGTAAAGAGAAGGTAGATTTAGAGAAAAAGTATGACGGTGCTGAGAGAGGAGCATGTATAGCAGAGAGGTGTGCTGCAGAAGTGACAGGAGTTCAAGGTGGAGGGGGGAGTGAAGCAAGGATCGGCTTTAAGCCCCTTCTTGTTTTCTTTGGTGATGGACAGACTGACTGACAGATGATTTTAGACAGGATTCTCCATAGACCATGGTGTTTACCATCGGTCTGCAGTGAGAGCACGGTGCAGGTGGACGAGAAGCGCAGGGGTGTGTCCAGGGAGTGGCCTGGGGTAGCACATGCCACCCTTGGAATCTGATTGGCCACCCCAGGTGCCACCACACTAATTTACCTTTAAATAGGCTTTTCATTGTCCACAAAAGTCTTGGGGGTAAAACAAAAAAAAAGCATAACCACTGGTGCCACCCATGCACAAAGTTGTGCCTCACCTGGGCCACCCCATTTTAAAAGATCTGGACACGCCACTGGAGAAGCGAGAGAGGAGAAGTTACTGGAAAAGAGAGGAACGAAGACTGAATCCATGAGAGGGACACAAGTAGAACGGTGATGTTAGGGAGTAGAAGTAAAGATGGTAGAGGACTTTAGATACATGGTCTAAGCAACGGAGATGGTGGTAAAGTGTGATGTGTGATAAAAGGGTTTCAGCTAGTGAGAGCAGCCATGCTGTCTGGTTTAAAGACAGTAGCCATGAGGAGAAGGCAGGAGGCAGAACTGGAGGTTGTGGAGCTCAAGAGATTGAGGTTCTCTTTGGGAGTGATGAGGACCAGGGATAAGTCCATCCGAGGGACAGCTCATGTTAGATGTTCTGGAGATAAAGTCAAAGAGAACATACTGAGATGATTTTGACATGTCCAGAGGAGAGATGATGATCACATGGGTAAAAGGATGCTGAGGTTGGAGCTGCAGGCAAGAGGCTGGGAGGAGATTTATGTATGTGATGAAAGTTAGTTGGTGTGAGGGTGGAGACAAAGAAGATAGGAC